AGCAGCAGCAGCAGCAGCAGCAGCTGCTGCTGCTGCTGCTGCTGCTGCTGCTGCTGAGTTCTATAGAGTTGTTTCAAACGCTTTGCTGCTATCTTTTATATATTTTGCATGCAGCAGCAATTTGTTAGAGAGTTGTTAGCTGGGTGTAGCAGCAGAGCTAGACACCGCGCTGTGTCGCAGCAGCAGCAGCAGCAGCAGCAGCAGCAGCAGCAGCAACAGCAGCAGACAGACACAGCGGGGCCCGCGTAGCAGCCGAAGGGCAGCAGCAGCAGCAGCAACTGCAGCAGCAGCAATCTGTATCGCCGTTGTTTCGCTGCAACAACTAAATAATACAACAAACAGTAGCCGCAGCTGCAGCAGCAGCAACAGCAGCAGCAGCAACACTCATTCCTCTCTGCTTGCTGCAGCAGCTGCAGCAGCTGCAGCAGCAGCAGCAGCAGCAGCAACTGTGCATCGCTGCTGCAGCAGAGGCAGACAGATAGCAGCAACAAATATATCTTTTGACGGCGGGGAGCAGCAGCACAGACACCGAAACACAGCAGCAGCAGCAGCAGCAACAGCAGCAGCAGCAGCAACTCTCATGATGCTGCAGTACACCAGAGCAGCAGCAGCTGCTGCTGCTGCTCTCATCTGCTGCCTCAGCCTACTACACCTAGGAGCCCTCGCGGCCCAGCAGCCGCAGCAGGTAAACAAAAACACCAGCAGCAGCAGCAGCAGCAGCAGCAGCAGCAGCTGCTGCTGCTGCTGCTGCTGCTGCTGCTGCTGTCTCTGTATGATGAAGCCGCGCTATATGTATATCTTTTTTTTCTTTTTTCTCTCTCTCTGTCTCTCTTTCTCTCTTTCTTTCTGTCTCTCTATATACTGGGCCTTAAGCTATCTTTGTTCGGTGTCTTTATTATTTATTTTATTTTATTTTATTTTATTTTATTTTATTTTATTTTATTTTATTTATTTATTTATTGATTTGTGTTTATATTTTGTTTTTTTCTGTTCTTTATAGGGCGCCCCCCCCGTCTACGGTGCAGCCGATCCAGCAGCAGCAAGAGCTGCTGCTCCGCCCCCGCAGCAGCAGCAGCAGCAGCAGTATACACCTCCTGCTGCTGCTGCTGCTGCTGCTGCTGCTGCTCCCCCTCCTCCACCGCAGCAGCAGCAGCCTCCTCCTCCTCCGCCGCCACCGCAGCAGCAGCAGCAGCAGCAGCAGCAACCTGTATATCAGCAGCAGCAACCAGCTGGGGGCTACGCTGCACCTCCCCCCCCTGCAGCGCAGTATGTGTATACACCTGACGGCCGCCAGCAGCAGCAGCAGCAGCAGCAGCAGCAGCAGCAGCAGCCTCCGCCGCAGCCAGCTTACTATGCTAGTACAGACCCGAGATACACGCAGCAGCAGCAGCAGCAGCCGCAGCAGCAGCAGCAACCACCTAGCTACCAACATCATGCTGCTGCATACCAGCAGCAGCAAGGC